GAACTTGCGAATTCGACCGCGTCCGATTTGTTAACCGTCGATACCTGCGAGGTTTACCTGTAGATACCTGAAAGGCTGATTTTTTTTGTACCTGTGATGTGGTTCTGGTTGCAGGACAAGTTGCTGGATGACACCAGCATCACGCACCTGTTCTCGATTACCAAGTACACCGGCTTGCTTGCCACTGGCCTCACAGGTATGCTCACTGCGCTTTGTTTTAGTACATATGCACTGTGTGATACTGATGTTTTGTGACAGTAAACTGAATTCGTTTTAGATAACGGCGATGAATGGTTTGTTCTTTGCGAGTTGATGATGGATGTTTGCTTTTTTGTGTGTTAGCTTTGGTGATTTGATAATCTCTAGTACTAGCATTTTTGACACTTTGGAAATAGACCACCATCATACTGTGATTGTCTGTGTTTTACTGTGCTTTCTTTTAGCACCGATATACTGTAAGTAAATTCAATTATAGTCTTGTAGATAATGGTGATGGATGTGTTTTTCTTTGCGAATTGATGAGTGAGGTTTGCTTTTCTGCATGTTGGGCCTTGTGATTTGGTGATCTCGAATAGTATTTGCGAGTTAGCCAAAATGGACTCACCCTCAACTGTGGTTGTAGCTATGATATGAGTGCAGATGATGTGATGCTCTAGTGAAATTAAACTAAGCTTATGTAGGATTCTATATTGGATTGTAGTAATGTGTATTTGTGAGAGCTGATGGTCAAATGTGGGACCCTTTTACATGTGTCATGATAGGCTGGAAACAGTTTTCATTCTTGTAGGATCTGGACATGTTTTACTCTTAAGAGATGATCCAAAATCCTCTTGATTTCTTGTGTAAAGAATGGGACTTAAGGTTATTTTCTAGTGTCATATTGCTTGCTCTTGCCCAAAGGGCTAATTAATAACCAGAGAAACAGTGGAGGGCTTTGCTAGTTGTTTATATTTTGGACAAGACAAGTGTGTATATTGGTATGTCTACCCTGTTCTAACTTCCACCCTTGAAGAATCTGGTATTTGTTTTGATGACAGCCAATATTTTGGCATGCCAATACCTCCTTACCCACTGTAGTTCTTAATTGTCAATAGTGACCAACTCATGGGCAAGTAAAACCTTGACCAAAATTTTGGCTAGCTGTAATTGAACCGCAGCTTCTTCTTTTGGACAATAGGGAACCATAGGAAACGACACAATTAAATTTGTCCTCATCAAGTCGCAGTGTTGTAGCATCAGATATCACCCACTACCCTTTCTTTCCTTGTCAGTGTGATATAATTAGGGTCCTTTCTTTCCTTGTTAGTGTGATATGATATCGGCCCTTTCTTTCCTTGCTAGTGTGATATGATTAGGGCCAGGCCTTCAGATTACCGTATTTACTTCCACTCATTCCTTCTGCTGTTCATTGATGTTGAATGTCCTTTTATGTTTCCCAGCTGATGCGAGGTCCTTGGTCTCCCAAGCAAGAAATGAAGCAGCTGAGTTCCGTAAAAAATGGGGATATGAGATGCCTGTGGATGTATTAGCAAAATGGTATCACACCTTATCCTTATCCAAGTTCCTTTTTTAGTTACCGAAGTGGCAGCAATAACACTGCATTTTTGATTAATATTTCAGGATAGCAGACAAAGCACAAATATACACGCAGCATGCGTACATGAGACCCCTTGGTGTTGGTTAGTACTATCACATTTACATCTGTTAGTACTATGATGTTGTAGTGTTAGGCCAATTAGCTTAACGCCTATTGCCCACCATAATCGTTTTCTTTGGTATGTTCTTCAGTTGCCATGGTCTTGGGTTACGATGAAGAGAAAAATGCTCAGCTCTTCAAGTGTGACCCCGCAGGTCACTTCTTTGGACACAAGGTATACAGTAATTTTCTGCGCTGCACTATATTATTCCTCAATTGACAATTCTATACCCAGCCAAATGCTTAATCTTTGTCTTTTTATGTGTAGCAAACCACTGACAAGTTTTTTTTTCAGGCAACTAGTGCCGGACTGAAGGAGCAGGAAGCAATAAATTTTCTGGAGAAGAAAATGAAGGATAGCCCCCAGTTCTCATATGACGAAACTGTTCAGGTAAATGCACATCTTCTCCTCTCGGGCAAACACAGGCTCTGAACTAGGGTGTTCTTATATTACTGAAGCTGATTCATTCGTAGCTTGAAGAGATATTTTGTGTTCTTTCCTTTTGGTACTCCACTAATATTTATCATGTGCTCTCAGATTGCGATTTCTGCATTGCAATCTGTTCTGCAGGAAGATTTCAAGGCTACCGAGATCGAGGTAAATACACGAGTCCCCCTTTTCCCAAGTTAAATTTTCTATTCTGCAATGTGTGGTGTTTATACATCAATGCCTTGTGCTCGGCAGGTCGGTGTTGTGAGGAAAGAAGACCGTGTCTTCCGGTCACTCACGACAGAGGAGATTGATCAGCACCTAACAGCCATTAGCGAGCGCGACTGAGCTATGTATGAGACTCGAGCTGTCAATGGACCATAAACTGTTATTTTGTTTCACAGCCAGCCAAGAAACATTCAGTGAATCATTTCATGTGTAGCAAGAAAGACGGGCATCCACTCTGCCATGTATTAGTTGGATCATCCTTTGTGTGGTTGAATTTGCTACGATTTAATTTGATGTTGCTGGCAGCTGCATGTTTGGGCTGTTTTTATCGTCTTCTCCTGTCTCAGATTTTGTGGTGCCGCCATGCATTTTGAGGTTAAGTTTGAACTGTTATGGTTTTGCAATGCTTAGAGCACTCCTTGGGCAGAAAAAGGCCACCCAATCGGCCCCAAACGCAGCCCAAACGTCAACCACCTTATACCGAGCATATATGTGGGACGGATATGGGGATGCACCTGCCTTCTCCGGTTTAGGTGAGGAGGCATATATATGTGGGACGGATATGGGGATGCACCTGCCTTCTCCGGTTTAGGTGAGGAGACATTATGGTACCGCTCTGGCGTGTCGACCAAAGGACATGATTCGGCTATTTAAGCTGGATGGCGAGGCAACCCTAGTCCATTCTCATCCCTCCTGTCTGCGCCGCTGCTAACCCCTCTCCCTATTCCGCCCTAGTCCGAGGCGAGCCGATGTTGAGCTCCTGACGCCGGGTGGAGGAGGCGGAGCAGGACGGGGTGGGGGTGGAGATGGAGGAGGTGGAGTTGAAATTGTTATCCAAGTTGTGGTTTTGCAATGTTTACACAGAAAACAACTGAATAAACGTACAACCTGCAAATATACAAGTGCATCTAAAAAGACAAGTACAAGCTGCAAATATACAAGTGCATCTAAAAAGACAAGCAGTAGTAGCAGCGAAACTTGCAGTAATCCAAGTATAGCTTTATCCAGCTCCACTCCCCGGAGCACTAAGGATTGCAAGAACACACGGCATGAACAATGCTTACTAAGGATTGAGTTGAAACTGCCATCCAAGTTGTTTTGCAAGAAAACAACTGAATAAACGTACGAGCCAAACGACTGAAAAGAAACTTGCAGGGGCTCGCTCCACGGCGACCAGCATCTCCTTCATCGCCACGGCGGATCTACCTACCCTCCGGCGACGGGCGGCCCGCCGGTGTAGTCCATGAGACAGTCGAGGTGAAGAAGCACATCGTAGGTGCGCATGGTCAGCCGCCCCTCCCTCGGCCTCGGCTCCTCGATGCTCAGCTGACCCGTGAGAGGAAGCTTCTCAAAGTCGTCCATCCACACCCACACTCTCATGCACGCCGCGTCTTTGGCCGAGTGCGCCGAGTCGTCCCTGCGCTCAACAATGGCGGACGGGCCAAAGAGGCCGGCCACCGTCCCCGCCTGCCACGCGCGTCTCGGCACCCCCTCCAAGCAGACGCGCACCTTGTGGCACAGCCTCTCCGCCCTCGCCCGCCGGAGCCGAGTCCACGGGGAGAGCATGAAGGAGGCCCGCCCGAGCAAGAGCGGCCCTTGCAGCCCCATGGCTTCATTGCGGGTGGACGCGTCCCGGAAGGTCACCAGGACCGACGCCTCGACCGCCCCTTCTTCCACCCCGAAGCGCACGGCGAAGGCGCGCGCCACCTCCGACGGCTCTGGCTCCGATTGGAAGCCGACGATGACCGCCACCGCCCCACGGCGAACCAGCTCCCGCTCTTCCATCGCCATGGCCGCGGCGCGCAGTGCCAATGCCGGGCGCGCCTCCGGAGAGCTGCCCGGGGCCTCCATCTTCCTTTCAAGCACCGGGAGAGCGGTGGAGAGGCGGGGTGGAGCAGGCGGCGAGACCTGTCTCCCGACGACGAGGTGGACGAGAGCCCGACCGACGGTTCAACAGCCGCCACAGGACGCAGGAGGAGTCCCAGCCGTGCACCACCGTGCCCAGAGAACCCACACAGCAAGCACTTTGCAAGATTGCAGCACTCAGCGACCCGGTGAGCCGGGGAAACACTCTCGAAGCATTTGGCTCTGGCCTTTGACGGAAGCGCGAATTTGTGACACCAACCAGCTGCCAACCACCGCCATTACTTACTCTCGTCCTAGCGGGCGGCAGGGGCAGTTACCACGGACCTGAGCCGCGGACGCGAAAGCCCGGAAGAAAGCGTTCTGCTCGCTCTCCCAGAGGCTGCAGGCCCACCCAGTTTGCAGTAATCTAGACAGTTTCCCCTCACCCTGAACCAGTTTACAGTGGATCCAGCACCAGCAGGCCATGTCCAGTGAGAAACCTGATAACTGGCGCAGGTTGAATCAAATAACCACTAAACTGAACGCACATCTGTAAACCGCAGACCAATTTCGTCAAATCCATTACAGTAGTAGTAGTATTACATCAACCTGCTGACGCAGTACAAACAACAATCAAAAGGTAAACACCGGCCATCATCGGCCCACTTCACAGTTCACACACACACGTAGGTCGTGCCACCATGCATGCCGGCTACTTGTTGTTTGAAGTTGAAGCTGCGGCGGCTTGTCCGTGCCTGATCTTGGCGAGCTCCACCACCCTGCCGACGTCCGGCAGCACCGCCCTGGCCGCATCAAGCGCGCCGAAACGCTCCATCCAGGCCGCCAGCAGCGGGGTCCTGGCGGGGTCGAACACCTTGGCGCCGGACATGGCCTCGATCGCCATCATCCACGAGTGCATGCTCCCCAGCGCAATGTCCACCAGCCCGACGCCGTCGCCGCCGAAGAAGCCCCTCCCCTTGGAGCACTCCCTCAGGCCCCCCTCCAGGGTCTCCACGGCCACCAGCATCTCCGCCATCGCCTCGGCCCCCGCCTTGCTCTTGCTCCTGGACGAGTTCGTCCACTGGGACACCAGCTTGTCGTCGACGTAGGCCGCCCAGAAACGGGCGACGGCGCGCTCGTGGGGGTCGGCGGGGAGGATCGGCGGCCCGGTGCCCGCGAACACCTCGTCGATGTACTGCACGATGATCATGGACTCGCAGACGGGGACGCCGTTGTGGATGAGCACGGGAATCTTCTTGTGCACGGGGTTGGAGCTGAGGAGGAGGTGGCTCTTGTTGTGGACGTCCTCGTCGACGCTCTCGTAGCTCAGGCCCTTAATGGCGAGGGCAAGCTTCGCTCTCGTGACATACGGACTTGACCATGACCCCAGCAGCTTCAGCTCATCTCCTCCTCCGGCCATCTCCTACTGGATTGTGTCTGTGTGGCGTGTAAGATTTGTTACGGTTTGGGCGTTTGGCTATTTCTGCCTTGTGTTTTGTTAGGGAACTTGAGCTCGGAGGAAGTGTATATATGGTGCTTGAGTTGGGATCAGGGAGGCGCGAATCACTCCATCGGTCATCCGTGATGCTTTTTAAAATGTGTGTGTATGGTCAAATCAGTAAAACTTCACAAATGTGCACACATCGCATGCTCATTTGATTATATTTTTAAGAGGAGTTGACTTGACTAATCTCGAGGTTACTTCGTAGTGAAGTGTTTTTTTAGCTGATTATGTACATAAAAAATGTATGGCCGGCTACCTTGGAAGCGAAGGCGAGCTAGGGAAGTTATTAGAGCATCTCCAGTCGCCTCCCCAACAGCCCCCAGACGTTTTTCAGCGCCGGCGCCTAAAAATCGGCCCAGTCGCGTCCCAGGAGCCTGTTTTTCGCCGGTTTGGGCCAAAACTGGCGCCGGCGGACCCAGGCCGAACACGACGCGCTGGGGGCGCCCGGGGGCGCCAGGGCAATCGACTTTGGCGCGAAATAACGGCGGGCCCGCCAAGTCAGCGACCCACGCGCCTCGTCGTCCTTATTGCCTCGGTTTCTCGCGGGGATTCAATGCCAAGGCTGCCGCCGGTCAGCCTTCCATTGATTCCTCATGGGCGGCGCGGGCGCGGCGACGCACCATCTTCCGCCAGGCGTACACACGGCTCCCACCCCTCGGCCGCTATATAAGCAGCGCCTCCCCCTCGCCTGTGGCCGCACCCCGCCCACAACCACCGAGCTCTCTCCCCGTGCACCGATGCCGCCGACGTTCCTCCCCTCTCTTCCCTTTTCACAGCCGCGACGATGGGTGAGAGGTTCCCTAGCGATGGGGCGGCGGCCAATGGCTTCGGCCGCCGCTCGTTGCACGAGTAGGAAGCCTACTTGCTCTTCGAGGCCAACGCCCCGGCGCCTCCCAACATGAACGCGTCGGGGCGGTGGAAGCTCAGCGCCGGTGGCGTCCCCATTCCCCCGCTGCCAGACGTCACCGCGCGCGCCGACTACTTCACCGACGAGGTCGACCGCGTGAGGGCGTCACTGGTGGAGGAGCAGCGGGCCCTCCTACAGTACGCCGCGGCCAACCACGAGGCGTGGCGCGTACTTCCAGCGCCGGCAGGCGCAACGGCTGGCCTCCACCAATGGGGCACCGGTGGTTCGGGGGACCAAGAACAGTGAGGGCCGCCACCTGTGGTGGGGCGCTCCCGACCACACTCTCCACGCCGTCCTCCAGCACCTCGAGGGCGGCAAGGACCCGCCGTTGACGTGCCCTGCCGCCCCAGTCCCCCGCCGGAGCGGCAATCAATGGATGCTGAGGAGGGCCGGCTCCTCTTCTTCCTCCTCCTGCTCCTCCTCCCACACCTCTGGCTCGTCGGCGTTGTTCGGCTTCAAGGCCGAGCCCGCGGAGACCACGGAGACACTGCTCGGCCGGCGCACCTGCAACACCGGCATCATCATCAACGAGGGCGGGCGCGCCTCCTCCTGGGCACCTCCCCGCTTCGTCAAGCCGAAGACGGAGTTGGGGCTCCCCATCGTGAAGACGAAGCCAGGGCTTGCCGCCGTGAAGGCGGAGCCAGGGCTCGACGACGCGACGGCCTTGAAGTGGGCGCGCGAAGACTGGGCGCAGACGAAGTTGGAGCGCCAGCGCCACGCCTTTGAGCAGTTCGCCGCTCGGCGCCGTGGCTGCGACGTGGGAGGCGTCGTCGTACTCGACGACGACAGCGACGACAACGTGCTGTCACCGCCGGTCGCCCGGGTGACCCCGGGTAGGGGTCCAGCAGTGGTGTCCGCGTGAAG